AGTCACGACGATGATCTTGCGGACAGATTGCAGAGCTTTTCTCTCTCAGACAGAGAAGCATCGATTATTGATATCGCCCAAAAGGATATTAAACTCAGTGCAGACGAATGTAGCAGAAGCCTCTTTGGTAAAGTCGTCGGAGACCGACGAGCAAGCTGGATAGGAGTTAAACGGGTCATGAGCCAAATCTGGAAGATAACCCAGTCAATGGAAGTGAAAGAATTGGCCCAAATTTTTTTCCAGTTTATCTTCCAAAGTAAAGAAGATCTCAAGAAGGTAGCCAGTGGAACGCACTGGAGTTTCGAAAATCAGTATCTCATCCTCTCTGAATGGAAAGATAAGTTATCCAACAGTCCCCCATGCTTCACAGAACTCAACATCTGGGTTCAAGTTCTTAACATTCCTCTTAACTGGCTGAGCACAGAAAAGGACCAAGAAAAGTGCAGACAAACCTAGTCCAAACAAAGTTGAACCCATTTCTCAACAGCAAGAAAGTTCCAAGAAAATCTAAATGGAGCAGAAGAAGGTGGGGGTTGCCAGCCTTGAGTGGCACCCAAGTGAATCATGCTAGCTGCGGTGTGGAACTGTAGAGGGCTGGGTGGGCCCTCTACAGTTTCCCAAATCCGAGTCAATAAGGACTCACCACCCACTCTTGTTTTTCCTTTCAGAGACAAAGAAAAATAATGGGTTTGTAAAATCTGTTGGCAAGAAACTTAGGTATAAAGGCAGAATGGCCATAGTTGACCCACAGGGAATGAGTGGAGGCCTTCTTCTATTATGGGACCCCAAAATCCAAATAACTCACCAAGTCATTTTACATTGCTGTGGAATTCCATCAATAGTTGGAGGACAGTCAATGGGGCATATTCATATACCTCAGCACCTGCAAGTCAATTAGAATGCAACAATGGCAGGAACTTGAAGATGACAGATTCACATGGGGGAACCAATGGTTCATCATAGGTGATTGGAACGACATTCGTTCCTCCAATGACAAACAAGGTGGCTCCCCAAGAAGTGACCACAACCTGATTGATTTCAACATCTTTATTGATTCTATGGCTATGGAAGAAATCAAAATGCTTGGCTACCAATTTACTTGGTGTAACCACAGAGCAGGAGCAGAATTAGTTGAGGAAAAATTGGATCGTGCTTTTGGGTCCATTGACTGGATGATGTCTTTTCCAAATGCCACAGTCTCCAATGTCTTACTAAGCTCCTCAGATCACTCCTTACTCCTTCT